TGTAGAGCTAACACCGTTAGCAGGAGCTGTAGAGCTAACACCGTTAGCAGGAGCTGTAGAGCTAACACCGTTAGAAGGAGCCGTGACAGGTTAACAACTTTTGTTGAGTAACGTTTATTTCAAATGTAAAAACACCTGAGTAAAAAGATCGAGATCGTTTAGTGCCGTCAGTAGGTGCTATGTAGCTAGAACAGTTAGCTATTTTCTCGATTAGGAAGCTGCTATCAGAAGAAATCTTCGTCTTGGGATTTTGTTTTGTCTCGCTCCTCTTCCTCAGTTTGGTCATCTTCATCTCCTCATTGTTTCTGTTTTCTTCTGTTTCAACGTGCTCTGGTCCAAAAGGCTGAAGGTTACTCGTTCTGCTGTAGTAACTAGCATACGTCATGTAGCAGGAAGCTCGCTAACGTCAACAACATGTCGTCATGGTGATTTTATCAGACTCTAAGTCGGCTGCTCTGTGTTGCCGCAGGGCGACTTCGCCCCCCAGAACATGATGCGCTCCATCGCCCGCCAGGTCTGCTCACAGCTGGTCAGCGGTACGTAGCCACCGCCGCTATGCTAAGCTAAGCGTCGCTCCCTGCTGGTTCTGGTCAGGAACGCTCCCGGTTCTGTTTCAGACCAGATGAGCCGGGTCAACACCATGCTGAACCAGATCCCCAACGGGAACTACCCCAGCAGCCCGGGCCCCCCGGGGCCGCCAGGGCCGCCGGGCAGGCAGGGGCCCCGTGGGGAGCCCGGTGCCGGAGGCAGGAACGGGTTCCCCGGCAGCCCGGGCCAACCCGGCCAGCAGGGCGAGAGAGGTAGGTCCGGAATCGGAACCGGAACCGGAACCTGGTGAGGACGGCTCAACATGTGACCTGCGGTGTGTTCAGGTCCCGCAGGAGAAAAAGGCGACCGAGGAGTCCCAGGAGTCGGACAGAAAGGACCCAGAGGGCCGCCAGGTACCAGCATCAGTGTTTATGTTCTGGATGCTTGTAAAAACTGAACCAGGAAAGAAGCAAAGCTTTTATTTTGAAAAGTATCTGAATCATTAAAAACATCTGTTTTGATTTTATGTTTTAAGATGACACTTTTATTTTGAAAAGCATACAGGATGACTGACTAGAGGCTTTTATTGTCTAATGAGACAGGAAATGCTCCTGTTCCTAACCATACAGAACCAGGAAGTGTTTGACCTGAACTCTGACCCCCAGGTCCTGCAGGAGAGAGTCGGACCGGGACCCCGGGCCCCTCAGGTTCCCCCGGGCCCCGCGGCCCTCCGGGACGTCCGGGCTACGCCGGGGCCCGCGGCCCCCCGGGGCCCCCCGGCTACTGCGACTCCTCGCAGTGCGTGGGGATTCCCTACAACGGCCAGGGATACATAGGTACGTAGGAGGAGGAATGGTGATGTGGGAACGATCCTCTGGTGACGAGTCTGGGTCCAGGAGTGGATGAGAACCACACCACAGAACCGGGTCACAGATCCAGTTCAGTTCCAGTTCAATTCTGGCCCTCACTGGATAGTTCTGACCCGTCCTGACCGGTTCTGAAATGGTTCTGGCCCATTCCGGAACAGCGGAACCTCTGAATGACAGTCCGGTCTGAAGCCCCGCCCATGCAGCCTTCGGGTCGGAACCTGGACCCAGACTCTGAGCATTTGTGCATGTGTTGAGCTGATGGTTCTGACCCGGTCCATCCTGTCTGGCCCGTTTCAGGTTCACCGTATAATTAGCCTTGTAATGCCGCCTGTGCTGCTTTCACTGACTGCCAGAACAAACACTGTTAGAACCGCTTAGAGGAAACCGCCGGAACCGGAACACTTAACCAGCAGCGAGGGGAGCCGTACTAACCGCAGCGGCGCCGGCGCCACCGACCCGCCCGGCTCAGTGGAGGAGCATGAGCAGAACCACAGCCCATACTAACAGAAGTGGATTAACAGAGGCGGGTCGTCCTGAACCCGGCTTTAACTCGTAACCCGGCACCGCTCCTCTGTGACCCCGGAGGGTCCGGTTCCTCTCCATCCACAGAACCTTTCCTCTGTGTTGTCCTAAACTGGGTTTCTGTCAGTAACCAACTCCGCTTCAATCTGTGTGATCAGGTCACCTGACTAACACCTACAGGGGGCGTGGCCTCTGCCTCTGACAGCTCATTGGGACTAAATGAAAATCTGTTGGACAAAAATTCTGGATATCTACTCAACCTTTCTGGATTATTTTTAGAAGAAGTGGATAATGCTAACTAAAAAGTTAGCCGCGTAGCTCTAAAACACTCAGTCAAAACCATTACTTCTGCTAACGCTAAGGCAGTGTTTTTCAACCACTGTGCTGCGGCACACTAGTTCACCGTGAGTGATTGTCAGGTGTGCCGTAGAAATGATCCAATTTCACCTCCCGTATTTTCCGGACTATAAGCTGCTACTTCTTTCTTACACTTTGAACATATGGCTTTTCTGTGAATTCTTCTTCAACCACCAGGGGGCTCTCTAGCAGGAAGTGAATCATTGGAAGTCAAAATTGGAAATCAAAGAAGAACGCGCTGATTTTCATTTAGAACAACCACATGCTAGCAGCAGGCACGATGGAGAAATGTTTTCAAACTCATATGATGCAGCTTCTAAGTTGAGGAGTATCGATCTGGCAGCACAGGAGGGAAATAAAGCCGCTGCACGTAAACTCGGCGTGAACAAAACCGGATTTGGAGACGGAGAACTTAATATATCCAGCAGTTATTAGGACGCTGCCCTCTGCTGCCCTCTGCTGGTCCTTAAGGGAAACTGAGAGCGGCAGAGATACCAGCGGCCTGTAGCCCGGTGCGGCTGATATATGTATGTTTCCAGGAGGGGGGAGGGCGGTTCAAAAAAATTTGAAGGTACGGTTTATAGTATGGTGCGCTCATAGTCTGGAAAATACGGTAATTGGTCTTAAAAGATTTTTTGAAAACAAATTAATTATCTGCAAATAATGCCACCTTTGAGTGTCTTTGCTGTAGTAGTGACTAGCGGCGTAATCATGTAATTTTATTATCACTAGATGGCAGTAGGTACAGAGCATTTTACATTAAAACAAGAGAATTAGTGATGCATCACATCACAGTGTTGTGGCCCTGTTCAGGTGTTCAGGTGTATTTTTGAAGTGGACATGTTAAGTGCAATTTGAAATAAGAAATGTAAAATATGATAAAAATAATTTTTTGTGTTTATTTGATTCCTATTCAAGACACTTTGATAAGAATGACTATATGTAATATAGGCGGCTACAGAGTATCTTTGATTACATTTTTGGTTGGTGGTGTTCAATTAAAACAATGTACCTTGGCTCAGAAAAGGTTGAAAAACACTGCGCTAAGGCACTTTACTAATGTGGTACTTAGTGAAAGCTATTGCTAATCCTGAAGCACTAATCATAAACATTAGTTATCCTAACAGTGACGCGCTATCTTGACATCGTATTTATCCAAAGCTAATGCTAACCCTAAAGCAATAATGCAAAAATATTATTTCAGCTAATGCTAAAGCACTAAACTAATGTGGTATTAAGCTAAAGCTAATGCTTGACCCTAAAACACTAATTGTAAACATTAGTTCAGCTAATGATGTAGCACTTTAGCAACAGAGTATTTAAATTAAGCTAATGCTAACACTTAAGCATTAAAACAATAACCTTACTTCCACTAATGCTAATTTGCTGTACTGACAAGGTATTTACTAGAAGCTAGTGCTAAAATGCTAACTTCAAATGTGCCAAGAGGAAATGAGACTGTTGGGTAAACGGCATTCAGCCCCTTCAAAATAAGGGCATGAATATAAACGTCTAAACGAGGGTAGCTAAGTGCACTAAACGTTTTCAAAGTTGGTAAACAAAACGTTAGCTCTGCTATTAGCACATTAGCAGAAGTGTGACCACTGCCAGTTTTTGGGATGCATCAATGTCAGGTCCAGTCATCTGGACTGAACAGAACTGTTCTGGTTCTGTCAGTGAGTCCAGTTTTAGTCCAGTCTGGATCAGAACCAGAACAGAACCTCTCCCTGCTAGCTGCCGTCAGACGCATTGGCCACGCCCCCTCTCCATGTGGCCACGCCCCCTGCTGTGACTAACCTGTGCCGTCTTACTAACTTGAGCATGCTCAGAGCGTGCGGTCGTCTGTCCTCTAATCTCAACGCAGCGTCTCCGAGCAGGAACCCGGGCCGGCACCGCCCCCCAGGAGAACCAGCTGCTCCAGAACCAGCGCCGGAAGAGGTCGCTGCCCAGAACGCCGTCTGACAGGCTGACGTCATAAGAGCGGCGGCTGAATGCCTGAAGGCGTTTGTGAATACTGTTTGGCGCGGCGGTGTCGGCACTGGAGGAGGCGAGTGTTTGACCCAGAGGAGGTTCTGCTTGGACCAGTAAACCCAGTAAACCCTGTGAGCTTCCCGTTTTCCTGCCTGTAACATATTTGCATAGAGTGAGTGTTAAAGCCGCAGCAGAGCTTCAGGTCCAGTATAACTCGGCTCTCATGTGTATCTTAGTATTTATCAGTTTGCCTTCATTCTGTCACGCGCCGCTTCACCGTCCTGTTGTTCTACCGGGTCGAGTCAGAACTTTTCAGACGCAGCATCACTTTTTATTGTTTTAGCTGCAGATTGTGAAATCCACAGCCGTATTTTCTTATTTATTTCTGAAAACGGAAGAGGCATTTTTCAATAAAACTACTGAAAATCTCATGTGGGTGGCCTGGAGTTTGTGGTTCCTGACGAGACAAAGAGCTCAGGACGTCCAGAGGACAAACGTCCAGGATGTCCACCTGAGGAAAGGACGTCTGTCTGCAGAGGACGGACACAGTTTGACCCATCAGTCTCTGGTTCTGGTTCTTAACTGGTCCATAAAACCAGTCATGGAGAAATTAGAGATAGAAAATATCCTGGATGGATGAACGAACGGTTGGCTGAACGGTTGGATGAATGCTTGTCTGGTATCCATTCTTCTCTGGTTGGATGTTCTGGATCTTCTCGCCTCCAGCTGCTCTGAACCCTCAGCCGACTTCCTGGAGCTCTGGGTCGTCATGGTGACATGGTCGTCATGGTTTCAGGACCTGAGCTGGTTCTGCTGATGTCTCCCAGTGCCCCAGCAGCAGGCACTCTATCTGCTGGATGTTTCATTATTCATGTCTGCAGTTCAGGACTTGATTACATTTCACTGAAAACTAGAAAAATAAAATCTCATGTATAAAAATGTCTATCATTAAAACTTTTATGAACATTTTAAACATCCAGTTTGAATAAAAATATTACATTTATTAAATTTGATCTTTATGGTTTTAAATGTCACTCTGGTTTCTGACTCGTTTTCCATTCTATAATAAGGAATAAGCACTTCACATTAGGGGAAAAAAGTAAAAATGTGCTTTTTTAATAGGCTTTTATTTTGAAATTATACGTCAGATCTGGTTGACGTTTGCTGGTTGTGTTCCAGAGGTGTCCCTCTGTCACTGGAAACAGAGTTTTTCAGCATTGCATAATGCCCCCAATTATTTCTGATACATTATTTCTTTTTACAACTGCAGCACCTGGATCAAACATGGACCGGATGTGCGCTTTTATTGTGAAAGCAGCACGTAAACGGGTGTACCATAATGTCTTGAGCTGTCGCGCACGTGAATATCTTGTGCGGGCGGCTAGCTTTACCGCGGTTTCCTCCAGGGCCGAAGTCAAGTCTCTGCTTCGGGGTTAACTCCCTCTCTCGCCTTGAACATGAACCAGGCGGTGGTTGGAGGTTAACTTTAATAGCGCCAGCTAACAGCTGAAAGCTGCACAGACGTTTCTTAATAGCCCTGCTCCGGTCGCCGTCTCCACTCTTCTCCACACATACCGTTTCCCACTCGCCCCTCAAGCATGTGGGTTTCAGCACGCAGCGCCCCCTTCTGACCGGAGGACGGCTGCCACACCTCTCACTGAGCTAATCATCACATACAGTGCAGGCACTTTGCGCAACAAAAGGAAACTAAAACTTTATTAATGAGCTGAATTAAGAAAACATGACAAAGTTTTCGTTTGATCAGATTTTAACGTCTGCTGGTTCTGAATGAAAATGGTCATAAATTCAGTAAAAATAATGAGCATATTTGTTTAACTTTTATTTAAGGAAAGTTGTTTGTATTGAGCAGAAATGAAGCGATCCACACAGAACTTATTATAAAACTTTATGTTGACAGCTGCTGTTTGTAAAATTAACAGCAATACTTTGGGTTATTCAGCCATAAGAGGGAAATATGGCAGTGTTGTGGTCAAGACCACCTAACCCGAGACCAAGTCAAGACCAAGACCAGCGCCCCACGCTGCAGGACACGATAAAGTGGTGAAATATGATCAAAATTACTTCTCCAATTGATCTGAAAGATCCATATTCACATAAAAGCACCTAGATATTAAATACTTTAAATTTAACCAATACTAAAAGCAGAACATCTTCCATCTTTGTGCTACAATCTGCAGTGGTCTTGTGCCATCCCTAAAAAGATAATGCCCTGGGTGTTTGCCCATATTGCTCATGTCAGAAACCATCATTATCTGCACCATTAAACACAGCAATTGAGGCAATGCCCTGACACTCAACTATGAACACTGACCGAGGAGCAACAAGCAGAAAGTAACCAAGCACAAGGCGCTCACCGTGACTGTTCTCACCCTCTCTCCTGCTACATGAAGCCAGGTAGTCTGACACCATGGCACACATTACAGCTGCCACTTTGAACGAGCAATGTGCATGCTCTGTGCTCTTTCGTTATTGTGTTCTATTTATTTAATTTAAAAAAATCAATGTACATAATTAAATAAAATAATGATAGCTACTGCAGTGTACGCAGAGGATTACAAGAACAAAGAACGGCTCTCAGCGACACTCCAGTCCTATCTAATAAGTAAAGAGCCGTGCAGAAGAATGGGACTGTTTCTGAATGTCGCATCAATATATTGCTGACTTTTGGACACAGCATTGTCCCATATATGCGACAAGTCAGTCAACACCTCCGCACAATAATTCAGGCAGTGAGTGACTTTTTTTTCCATCACAAATAACGTGTCTCTGTACAGCTAGTTTTGCTAACATCACGTCAACGGAGCTTACCTTCTTTGAGCTACTTTTCTAAGTGACGAAAAAAGTTAGACGTTGTCCCCAGCGTCTGTGAAAGCGAAGCGCTGCTGAGTTAGCTGTGGCCATCGGATTTCTTATGATTTATGCAGCGATATTATATTACTGATGATTAGACAGACATCTTCTGCCGCTCAGAGGAAACCACTGCGCATGTCTGAACTCCGTGTGCGAGTAAAGGTGGGGGAACAGAAACACGTTATTGGTTGGATTTTAATGGTGCGTTTTCCATCCACGGAAAACAAAGATGTTAACAAATAAACTGGACAGTATGCTGCACGTTTAGTGATATTTTCACAGTTGCGGTCTTGACTGGTCTTGAAATAAAATGCCGAGTCCTCGGAGCCCAAGACCATCAAAAAATGGAGACCAAGGCCGATCTCGAGTCCTACAACACTGAAATATGGGGTTATATTTCCTTCGTGTTATTACGTTTATGAATGTCACAGTTTCAACTAAACATTTAGCTTCATAATTCAATATTTAGTCTCCATGAGTTTTCAGGACTTTAGTCAGACTGAATGAGCCTTTAGTTCAGAGAGCTTTTAAATCCCTGGTGGGGTTCCAGTCTGTTGGGTTTTATTATTTTAACTTTCTCACCAGTTTTCAGACTCATTTTCGTTTTTCTCTCTGAATCAGAATTATTTCAGCAACATGAAAACGTGAACACCTCACACCGGGCCCTCACACTGGTCCCTCACATTGGGCCCTCACATTGGGTCGTCAGGCCACTCCACCGCTAAAACAACGAATCTATTAGGAAATTTGATTTTCTGAACCCTAACCCTGCCGTATCACTTTATTTGACGGGTTTGCATAGGACTGACATGATGACACCGTCATAAACATTCATAAAGAATTTATGTTCATCACAGATGTTATGTCATGTTTATGACAGTGTCATGTCAGCAGACTCACCCCTTCAAATAAAGTGTTACCTCATGTGCTAGCCGGGGTTATCTGCAGTTAACAGGTGACCATCAGATGTGAAGCTGCAGGTGCGCCGCCGCCATGTTTGTTAGTCTGCTGTTTGAAGTGGAATCAGCTGCAGCTTCAGGACGGAGGACATCTTTAAGCCATTGTTCCCTGCGGGACACCAGCTCCAGTCCGCCGGGGGCACGATGATCCACGCTGCAGCTGTTTATGAACAGTTTTTATCACGGAGCAGAAAGCAGCTTGTTAAACTGAGCAGTAAAGAAACGGACGCAGTCTGTTTCCCATCACCGTCGTTTTAGCGGTGACCTCAGAAAAGCTGAAGTCAGATCTGTTTTTATTTACTTTCACACAAACATCTGAAAATGTTTTCATCTTTTAGAGAACTGAGCAGTTCATGTCTTATCATCCTCTGTGAGTTTCATGCTCCAACTTTAAGATAAGCGCAGTGGGGATCCCGCTAACGTAACAGCAGAGCTAACTTTAGCTTAGCACTTTCGCTAACCTTGAAAACAGTTAGCACACTTAGCTTTCCCTAAAATCATTTTCCAAAAAAAATTCTAAAGTGTTAATTTACTGCTTTGTAAACTTTCAGTTGAGTAAATTACAACATCAGTGTTTAAGTTTTTATTATCTTCTGTGAAGAATTCTTCAGGTAGACGTTTATGTTCATGTTCTTATTTTGAAATGTGTGCAAAGGCACTTCTGTTTCCTCTCCTCATATTCTCTTCTTTTTAAAGAAACTTTTAGGGCCGGGCAACAAATCAATAGCAATATAGACACACGATCAATAATGATAGATAATACTGATAGAATATTCAATACTTTGACTGAACACCGATCCACAACCGCACAGCATTCTGGGAGATGTAGGCAGAAGACAAGGCTTTAGCAACAACATGCTAGCATAGCTCTCCCCGACACAAGGTGGATGTCAACATAGTTGAATTTAGTGCTTTAGCATTAGCTTTGCCTTAGTATCATTTCAGCAGAGCTAATTATAATGTTATATTTAGCTAGAAATTCAAATATTTGTCTGGCAAACTAAATAGCTTTACAAAGCTAAATATTAAGTGAACAAGCTGGGTATTTAGGAGCCGTCTGGCGGAGCGGGCCGTGTTCCCGGGTCGGATTTGATTCTGAAGCTTCAACGTTTAAAGACGGAAACTTTTACAACCAGCTGGTTTCATGTTTTCCTCGTTTCCAAACATCTGTCATGTTGACAGGTGATTCCATGTTTGGGAGCTTCGCTGGACTAAAGGTCGTGGCTGTGACCTTTACAGGCCGGCTGTTTACTGCAGCTTCGCTATTTGCTTTGTGAATCAGAGCAAATGGTTGCTGAAGCCACACGTAGCAGAGTGTTGGTGGATGAGGAGCTGAATCATCGGTCATTGGGTCCAGATGTAGAGAAGCGAACACATCTGTCTGGTGGACCAGCCTGGTTTCATAACCGAGACTCTGCAGAACAAGATTTACTCAACAAACTTGGTTCCACCGCAGCTTGGCTCATCATGTGTCCAATAACTGTCAGAAGCGATCAGCCTGAAGCCAGCGCTACTCCGCCTCCCGGGTCTCAGCGCTTCTCTTCATTTGTTCTGAATTAGCAGAACAAAAGCAGCTTAATGTGAGCAGAGAGAGCAGAGCAGCAGATCGGGCAGCGCCGCGGGCCACGATGATTGAAAGCTTTAATGCTTCTCATTTATGAAATAAACAGCTTTAGTTTGCTAACTGGACCCAGTCGCTGCACCTTCCACCAGACTGGGCCGGTTCTGCTGTGAGACCGCAAGGTGTTGGCTCAGGCAAAACATTATGGCTACATGCCGTCACGATAACCCTAACCGTATGGCGGCCATTTTTACAGTTACAGTCAAAACCTAAAGGCAATAATTTGTCAAAAGAGGAAAAACAACATCCAGTCATATTTCCACCATCTTCTTTCTTCACTTGTAAATAGAG